TTACTGTATTAATAACAAATTGTATTTGACAACATGAGAATGATTCTGATGCCCAGTGGTGATGTTGAAACAAACCCAGGTCCTGGTAATATACTAAGACCTGAATAACAAAGAAGTCATGTACATCAAGGTTCACTCAGATTTATGAATGCAGTTTCTTGAGCAAGTATACATGTATGACAAATAGTTTTGTTGTTGCACTTGTGTACTCTGAGATTCTGAACATGGGTCAGTGGAAGTTTTTACTTGTCAGTACAAAACTAGATTATGGGAAATCACTTGATGATGAGTTGTACCCACAAAGAGTACATATTCATTCACCTGTTTGCAGATGTTCCTTGTACTACTTTATAATCAAATAACAGGGACTGTGACATTTCCTGTCTTGTTATGTTTTGTTTTATGTCATCCCCCTTACCATATTTGCTTTTTCGTATGATCAAAATAATACGCAGGTACGCAGTTACCTAGCATACAGTTTTGGGTTTATGTGCATTTAGAGGTGCTCCATAAGTAATACAGAAAATTTGATTTGATACCTTGCTTTAGCTTCTGAAAAACATTAGTTAGTCAGCGGCAGTGTGATGAAAATAAAAAGATTCACCATTACCGGTAAATTTCTTGGATGTGCATAAATGCAATTAATATCTGATTGGATTGTAAACAGACCAATCAGATTATTGCCAGATATCATACTCGTGTTTAATTTTGTTCATTTTGTTTTTCCAGATACTGATATAACATTTACCATCAATTCAACACACACATATCAACAGATATTAGGATTTGGTGGAGCCTTCACTGATGCTGCTGGTATTAATATTCTAAATTTGACTAAAGATGTTCAAGACAGATTATTGGAATCCTACTACTCACCAAATGGTATGTATTTATTGATAGGTGTTGTTTGTTTTGTACATTTGTATGTTAATTTGGTTTTTCAATATTTTTGTGTTTCGTGACAGTGTCGGACATTGAATGTCACTGTTGTGAGTGTTGCCCCAGAAACAATATTCCATGTTTGGTCAAACACAAGAACCTATGAACCTTAACAAATGTTCGCTGAAAGCTGCATCCATTGAGTCTGCAGGTAGGGGTTGATTCTTTTTGGTGTTCAACGTACTCCAGGTAGGATATTTGAACAGTAGGATACAGTAAGGTAAAAATAGTGTAAAATAAAATCTAAGTAATGTAACTAAAAATAACTACAAATTTAAAAGTTTACAAATTTAACTACAAAAAAATCAAAAAGTAATAAAAATACAGTAAATAAATCAAAATAAAGGTTTACTCTACCCAGGGGTTTACACAGGCGGTGCTTTGTACATGGTATTTTTTAGATATAATGAAGTAGAAAGAGTAGTCTCAGATCATTACAGAAGGATTGTTTGATTTTTTCTTCAGGGATTGAATATACATTAGGTCGTATACCAATGGCAAGTTGTGATTTCTCAACTCATCCTTATTCATATGATGATGTAGTGGGGGACTTCTCTTTGGAAAATTTTGCATTAACTAAAGAAGATTTGTCATTTAAAGTAAGTAACCAACCAAACCAACCCTCCAGTCATATCTTTTTCTTCTTTACAACTGTAATTTTCAAATTTGATAATTGACAATTTCATATCAGAGAGTGTTGATGAAAAACCGAAACATCAAATATAAGTTTTATATATAGTTTTACTACTGATACATTTGGTCTTCAATGATTGTCTATATTTTTAATTACTTGCCATGATGAGGAACACGTAGTGTGAGCATTGTAGGTGGTGGTACCTGGATCACATAAGGTTACATGGTTTAATTGTTTCTGTATAGCATTTTGTGGGTTAGTATACAGTATTTCAGTCACTTTCAATGTCATCTGCAGATTCCAATTATTCAGAGAGCTCTCAACATGAGTCAAAGATCA